TGATTAGGACGCTCGCATTTAGTGGCCGTGAAAAAATCGGCAGTTCATTTTATTTCAAAATTTTTGGTATGGTTTGATAGCCAGCTCTATAAGCTTTAATTTGATATAGGGGTTTAGGTATCTACGGCTTAAACCGGACGCGCTACATCGCTTGGACGTGAGACACCCCTGAAGGTATACGGTAACCTTAAGTATCTCTATCTCGGTATCACATTGGGTTATAATACCAACAAGAAGGAGCAAAAGGGATACCCAATTTAAAGGACTGTGAACCTGTACTGAGAAAATAACCCTATTCCCCGGCACTTACCAAGTGACTTTAATACATATGGGCGTACCACCCCCACGGGATGTTAAGACCAATGTCACCTAGCTTCCCTTGAAGATAAGTTATTTTACAAACATTATTCTTGGAAGTTGTAATGTGAAAGGTATTTTTCTCAAATTTCAGAACGTGACCACCTGGACGATAACAGATGAACCACCAAACATTAAACCAGATGTTCTCCATGTCGCGGTATGTAAGGCGCCAATACTTGCAAGTTTAAGGTGTAGTTATAGCGGAACCAAGAGGAAGTATTTGTAATATCTAAAATAATGCTTCAGGTTTTGAAAGAACTATACTTTGTAAATGGTTTGAACCCAGGAGTATCAGTGGTTCGTCTTGTGACATCGTCCGGGTCAAACTGGCCAATCACTTTCAACGGACCAGACTTATAACCTCATCTACTGACAGACACTATTCACTCGACTCTGAAGATGAATTCCGCTCAGGTTGTCGAAACATCAGTCACCAACAACAGTTCTTTTCAGAACTACTCTCACCCGAACGATCACACAAGACAAACTAGAATATACTTTGTTAATGAAAATATTCCATAGGCTACATTAACCATAAGAGGAGCAGTGAGATTGACTGGCTCAACGCTTTTCAATGATTGAGTATCTCTTTAAATAAATATAGATATCTGAGACATTTTTCGCGAGTAAAACTTTTAATTTCTCTAAAATATTTCCCACAACATTAACAGCAACTTTAAGGCGTCACAGAAAAAATCTAAAAACGTACCTTTAATCAAGGAAACAAGAACTCTTAAATTCAGCTTGTCACAACAAAGAGCAGTGGAAATATTTTATTCTTCAGGAGATACGCAGGGAAGTGCAATTTATGAGTAATAAGGAAGTGTGACATATCCAGAACCAACCACAAATGTAAACAAAATAGTGTTTTTTTTTCTGTTGCAGTCCTTTGACCCACTTAACACCGTTGCATGAGATCATAACTTAGTTGCACGGAGCTCAAAAGTTTCAAACAATGAAAATGATTTCCGCAGAATCTTCGAGCAATAATGGCAAAAATTAAGTTACCAAAGAAACCTCGTGTCATGGTACAGTTGTTTTGCTTACCCTGCCGGCTTTTCTTTCTTCTCTGATTTTTTCTTTTCTTACCCAAATAAGAGGGAGTGGGGGGTCCCCTGGGCCCCTTCCTTAGATCCGCTACTGATAGAAACTGATAGAATCAAGCTTCTCTTTGGATATATACGTACATAAGGAGAGGTTTAAATTTATTTTTGGTATGAAAATTTTCAGATCAGTTGAATTAATTTTTATTTCTTGTAATATTTGTAATCGTAATCAGGAGTAAACGAAGATAAAGATCAAACTGGTTTAAAGAATGTTGAACCAAAAATATGACCAATCACTTACTCTTACAGATATTTTATTAAACAATATATGCAAAACAGATTATTAATTTTGTACAAATGTGTTTTGGTTTGTAGGTTGTTTCCTTTCCATTTAGAGGCACACATTTTGGAGAAAGAATTTGGCTGAAAGAGTTTGATCCATTACGACCAAGTATGAATCATGCCTCTCAAACTCTTTAATAATTCATCAAGTTTAAACAAAGAAAATTATGACCGTGACGGTGTTTGGATATCTGATCTTAATTAGGATAGATTTTTACGATTTCATTTCTACGTTTTCTCCTTAGTTTTAGCTTCGATTGAGAAGATATATCAAACACTCAAGACAGTGTTTGACCACATTTGCAAACAACTCGAAGTTCGTCAACAATACTTCGCTGCGCGTTGTTTTTTTCAACTCTCTTCTCGGTGTTTGGAAATGTGGTCAAACACGGTTTTTCGTGTTTGATATATTACTTCCAGTTTTAGCTTACAGGAGCTCAGTTTGGATACTTTGGCCAAGTACAAAATTACCTTTAAATTGAAGGAAAATTGAAAATAATAGTTAACTAAGATAGGAAACACCAAAGAGATAATGCTAAACCAGAAAGGAACAAGGATGGTTAAGGATGGAGAAGATTGGCATGGATTACAAACGACAAACTTGAAACATTTAGGCTTAACTTTTCAAGATGCACGAACTGTGACGTAGCTCCTTTAATACGCTGACGTAGAAGATGTAATTTAAATTATAGTCAATTGTAAAATAACAGACAGGTTTGCATAATTGACAGTATCTGGCCGTTACAAATGATGTTTTGGCTCTATCGTCAAAACCGATCAGTATATAATGACAATGAATTCATTAATGAATGTACTACATTCAAAATGAGACTCGGATGGCTAAGCCCTGCCAAACTTTTACGAGTATTCGATTTCGTACCTAAATTTAACTCTATGTCTTTTTGCAAAAATGATTGTTTGTGAGTGAATGGCCTTATTTACATTACACACGAATCACATTTTTAATCAAGGTTTTCTTTTAAATCAGTCTTTTTAAAATCTCTTGTAATCATTTTCTTCGCAGCTTTCATCCCAACGTTTATGCCAGTGTTTGAAACAAAAGGTGAGGTTTTTCGTATTCTTCATAGACACAGAGATTGTATTTCTAGTTAAGTGTCCTCAGGCTCTAAGTGGAGCTTAGTTATTATCTTCATTTCACTCATGACATCGTGATTAGCTTCAAACAATGGCTCGATAATCACGTATAGATGGGCCTTTCCACAAGTATTACGAAAAATCGCCTAAATATCTAGAGCAATACTTTGAATTTCAATAATGTTATCCACGTTTTCATTAGAACTTAACTGCTCATGAATGAAAAATTGTTTTTCTTTATGGCGCTGACGGTGTCCGGACTTATAATTTACCGCTCAGTTTGGTTGGCGAAAAGGAATTACAGGTCTAGATTTAAGGCTATTTGTCTTTCTGAACGCGAAATTCGATTCTTTTTTTTTAATTTTCTTGGAATAAAATGGTTCTTGGTAGAAACAATGCATAATTTTTGTGCCGTTTCTTTTCTGCCTAGAGCAATTCAAAGAGGCAGCCACTAAACGTATCAGTTGGGCTCCTATTGCTGGAGGTTCTGTAGCAGGAGTGGCACTTCTTGTGATAGTGTTGATGTCCATTACATGGCGAAGACGAGGTGCACTGTGTCCTTTTAATTTTCAAGGTAATAAACACCAGACACTAAGAATATATAACAGTTCTATACTATTCTTTATTTTTATGCGGTAACCGAAATAATACTTAACTTACTGTCGCATTTTTATTTAGATCCTGTGACGCAGGCAGCTATTTCCAGGCCAAACAACGTCATAGGTAACAATTTACACTGAACTATGCGCCTTATACTGGTATCTTCTGATGTGTGCTGTTTCAATGTCACTTTTACACATTCCTCCATTACAATTTACTTCCCTAAGCGAACTCCGATTACTGTGTTTGAGTAAACCTTGTTGTCTTACGTCTTTTTGCTCCAGTGTTTATGTTTTTATGCTTTAAACTCGCCTTTTGAAACATCAGTCTAAATTGCACAAGGAATATAATGGAGTCATTTATCGCATCTTTTCGTCAACTAACTTTCATAACTTTTCATGATGTAGATAACCTTAGATAGATTCAGCGAGGAATATGAGGCAACTTACACAGGGAACAATTTGCCATGATATTCCCCCTTGAACCGATCACTGCGTTTACATTAGACTAAAACCTCCGAAGCGTTTTGATAATGATAATAAAAACAGTTAGATCGTGTTCTTAAAAATTCCTACAAAAATAGCTGCTTTGAGGATTACTTATAAAAACAATTTCTGTATTTCATTGGCGTTTGGGATTACAATAAACTCACGCCTCACGTCTCCTTTGTTATTTCCTCACCCCATATCCGACCCACGCTCATGAAATAATCGTTAAATATTGTTACATCAATGTTAAACGTTCCATAAACCGCTGATTTTCTGGTGCCCACCGGGACTATGAGTTTTTATTTTCTCTGTGTTGAAAATTTGTGTTTATGATAGGTATACTAAAAACATTTTTTTATTTCTGAAAAATATAGAACGCGTCACAGAAATAACAGCGGCTGCGACTCCTTCAAGTGCAGACATTTCTAGCGGTAAAGTAAAACTTTCACAGCTTTAATAGACATGTTTGTCGAACAAAAATGGTAAAACATCTTAGCTTAAAAACGTTTTTTCTTCAAGATAGTCAGAGTGTAAAACATAATCCGCTAATGCATTTTCCTAAATACTATTCTAGCTTTTTTTTTTACCACTGCCACCTCAAGTACAGATTGAATTAATGCAGTCACTGTTAAGTCAAAGAATGGGAAAAAATTGATTGCTGAAAGTTGTTTAAGGAATAGTGGACTTTAACTCTGTTTACATAGCGTCATCTAAACACGAGTGGGGTTCAGAGAATTCGAGACAGTTATGCAAACCCGAGGCGCAGTCGAGGGTTTGCTTAACTTCCTAGAATTCTCCCAACCCCCAAGTGTTTGGATGAGGCTATGTAAACACGAAAAAAGTACTCTATTTAATCACTTTTATAAAATATTTCTCAAAAATGCGCGCGAATCTTAAACGTCACAACCGTGTTTACATACTCTCATTTAAATACACCAATCTACCAATGAGGGCGTATCTCAGTTATTTTATAATAAGCCGTGGCTAAAGAATCAAACATTATATACCAACATCTTATCATTGTTTTTTTGCACACTTTATGGAACATTTTGACCCAACTTATCTTGACTGTCAAATCATTTTATTTGTATTTTTGTTATATAATTGCCCACACAATTACTTTGCAGAATGTCATTGTATCTTTACACGTCTTCTGTCCCCTACAATCGATGGGCGACGTTATGAAGTAAATTTGCAAATAAACTTCAAACTTGGTACAACACTGTTAGATCGCCAAGTTTATCCCAATCATTTTGAACAATGACCTCGTTTAGTTTTTAAGCCATAATTTGGTTCCCAGCTCACGGTAGCTTCTTTTGTTCTTTAGAAGTTTACTACAGCTGCTATTACCCGGAAAACGAAGCTTTTCGTGGCAAAGTGGCTGCCATTGTGAACTTCTTCCGAAAAAATGGCTATGACGTCATTATGGATGCCATGATGTCCGGTGAACTTAGTTCCCAGGGCCCGACGCGGTGGGCAGAGAATCAGATAAGAAAGGCCAAGAAAGTGCTTGTTTTCCTTTCCCCAGGCCTTTTGAGTCTGGCTTCAGCTGATGGATGCGAAGGAATTCACACTCAGGTCAGGAGCCTATTCTGTAGTGGCCAGTATGTAGTGCATTTTCTACACGGCAATACTGAACTATAGGAAATCGCGTACGAAAAGACCGTACCGTGGAATCAGTATTTCTCTAACCTTCGCGCTTTGGAGCCTCCCGTACTTTCATGTGGTGTTATTTAGTATTATATGGCTAGCTCCCTTAGCTGGCACGGTAAACTGAATCCTGCGCTGTGATTGGCTACCCGAGCGGGGACGATCACGCTATCTTGCTCGCTCGGAATTACCCGCTGTGTAACGAAAGAAAATAGTGTTTTTTTTCCCCTCCGTTGACCAAACCTGTTCGGTCAAAATGGCTGGATATTGGCCTCATTTTTATTCTACGTGTTTACACACTAAAAAAGAACGAGACCAATATCCAGCCATCTTGACCTCCCGCTTGGTCAATAACCCATACGCACGTTGCTCTACGGCGGCCCCAAGAGAGATGTTTCTTTTCCGCAATTTTGAAATTAGCCCTTGTGGAAGAATAAAAGTTAAAGATACACGGTTATTTTATACTATGCTTTCATCATCCATCGCGTTTACAGGATATCAACCGTGTGTGGATTGAGCTTGAAGTCCTTCGAGATCTTTACACTCGAAATCGCTCAGCCGCTAAGATGGTGTGCATAGCTTTGCCCGACCTGCCAGTCACATCTCAAGACCTACCTGTGTGGTTGAAAGTCAGCTACAAATGGCCAGAGGATGTTCGAGAAATCCTGAAGCGTTTAAATGACAGACCATCAATTAAACCATTTCAGTGACCATTAATTTGCCATTTGCCATTTCCTTAAATTGTCTGGGTATGAGGCGTCGGCGTCGACAAAACCCGGATCGGATCACGGATCGGATCACGGACCGGATCACGGACCGGATCACGGATCGGATCATGGATCGGATCACGGATCAGATCACAGAAAAAAAAAAGTTTTAAAGAAAAAAAATCAAAAACTAAAATCAAACCGTTTATAAGATAATGATAAATAAAAAATAAAAGTGGAAAACTAAAATATGTTAAATGAGAATAAGAATCCCGAATTTGATGCAATGACATGTTAATTACAGAGAATGACAAGAGGTCATTTAAAAAGCCACATAAGCGCCTAATTTACGACGAATTTA